AGTTAAATAGTAAAATAAATACATATAATGATAAATTAACTGTGGATTATTTCATTTACGTTGCGTTACGTGGCTTCCGTGTGGGTAGCTCGCTGTTTATTCCAAAATTAACAAAGAGCTCAACACATTGAGAGGTTGGCGACCACTGCAATAGAATGTGTTAATTAATTTGTATTTTTTATTTCAGGTGAGTTTCGCTGTTTGCTGTTAAGTAGGTAAGAATTATTTATTGTTAATATAGAGCATACCAACATTTACAACTTAAATTACTTAGTAAATCGTAAATATTAAAAAAATACATCGATATTTCCTCATGGCAACCTACAGCAGCTCAAAATTCACAATCTTGCTCTATAAAAAGATTTTTGAAATCAATGGAGTCGGTTAGACCAACATATTTTTCAAGATAGAATTCAATGAAAAGAATCCATATTTATGTCTAGTAACCTACTATATTTACACAACAATATTATATAACATAGACGAATTCTGAAGGATTTTTATACTTTTGTAACATTTTAGCTAGATGATGGCCCAAATTACCGATACGATAATATAATCCGCGTCTGTCGTTCTATCGATATTATCTGCAGGATCTGGCTGTGACATATAATCACACATTATGATTGATGATGGACGTCGAAACATTTACATGTCCGTCGTGAATAGCGTTCGTTTTTTTTTTGTTAAGAGTCTTTTGTCAAGCCGAAATCAATCCACTTCTTTTTCATAAAAAAAAGCTTCACCGATATAATAGGATTGAAAAGAATAGTAATAATACAAAATTTGTATAAAGTACATATATTTTTAATGAAATTCTTTAACTTTTTTAAATACAGATAAAACAGATAAAATACTTACAAAAACAATTAGAATTTCATGCAAAAAACAGTCAATGGACTCAAATAGTTTTACATAATATACCTACATACATAAAATTCAAAAATTCTAAACAGTGCCACAACAAATACCATAAAATATACCTCCCATACACCTTCCTTACTTGATTGATATATCTGTTTACCATATAGGAGTATACAATTTGTCATATAAAACATTGAATTTGTGGCATTAACTATTGTAGTTGGCTTCAACGAATTCGTGTCTATCCATTTTTAATCCCTTATTTGAGCTGTCGTCTGACACATGTATACCTATTATTGAAATATTAGAGGACAATTGATGATAATGAAAATTCTTGATATGATTTAATTCCGTAAATTAAACAGTTTATTGAATGTTATTACTTCTCTATAACGTATTGTGATCCAGAGGCGTGGTTTCTACGAATTTTAAAATAAATTAAACGTTTAAAAACATTTTTTGGTCTTAATAGTCCAAAAACTTGTTGATTATAGTCTATATTTATGTATGAGAGAGTAGTAAAATAATAAAGCGTTCGTAATCCATAGGCGTATCACTTCTTTTAGTAGACAGTTAAAATATTTTTTGAAGTTATTCCTCGAATATACACTTATATTTTCACCTAATTAACCTGCTTATAACTTCTAAACAGCTGAAGGTAAAAAAGTGCAATTTTTTCTAAAATGTTTTATTTTTCCACAAGGTATGTTAAGAACATTGTGTCAAACGGGTTATGTAGGTATAAGGGTTTAAACTTTGACTTTTAAACAACGTTACGTTCATAAATAATAATTTTAATATAAAAACTACTTCTTACCTACAAATCCAAATTAGAATCGAAATCAGAAGATGAACTGTCGCAACCAATATTTACAATGAGTGGCTAGATCATTTCATCAGTAATATTGTCCATCTTCCACATTTTCTCTTCTTCTTTAATCGTATGATTTACTGCCTTTTCCCAGTTTTCAGGCTTCACATTATTTACAGCCTCCAAAAACAACTGTTTAACATCACTCATTTTAAAAGAATGATTTTTTCTTGAAACTTCTTCCTTTATCTGTGCCCATATCAGTTCAATCGGGTTTACTTCGCATTGATATGGTGGTGATCTAACCACCGTCATCCCACGATTTTTTGCAATTTCATCAATTTCATATTTTTTGAATTTCTCTTTATGAAGGGAACACAAATGATACAGTTCTTTTCTCACAGAACCGGGATGGAACTTAATATTCTTTGAATTTAGCCAATTCTGTAAATCTTTTTTTAACCACTTGATTGTGGGCATTTTTTCTATAAGTCTCGAGTCATAACTTGCATTATCCATTACTATTATACAGTTCTGAGGAAGAAGATCTATAATTTGTTCGACAAAAGTCAATAAACAACCTTTAACAAAACCGTTTGAACTACCGATGTGTATACTATTATTAGTCTGCGCCTCTTTTTTGATGGTGGATTTAAACCAGTAGATAAATTATTTAAAAAAGCCTGTCTTCGACTTGTAACAGTTTTATCTTGCCAAAATTTATTTGTTTTATGTCTCTCGTTGGTCCATGTTTCATCTAAATAAAATATATTTCTTCTTTGGTTTCTTATTTCTTTTATAGTCCTTAGTTAATTTCTTCTCCATACTACAATATCGCTTCTTTCTATTAAAATAGACTTTCTGGAATGCTTTTTCCATAGAAAACCTATTTCTTTTAAAAGTTTCCATAGTCAGGGTAATCCTTATCATCTCGAACCGTGGCAAGAACTTTGTCTACTGTCAGAAATTCTTTTCTAAAGAAGAACGCATTCACTTTCCTTCGAAGTCTTTCTTTCAAAAGATTTTTTAATTGAAATTTTGGTTTTCCTGGAGCTTTACGTGCTGTTTGAAACTCGCCACATTTCTCTTCTTTAACAACTCTGTAAATCGTAGATTTCCCAACACCAAGTGTACTACTAACTAATTCCACTGTGTCATCAACACTTTTACATAAAAGTTTGTCTGTAAATGATTTAAAACAATTAAATATTAATGTTTTTTCATTAACTGTTAAAGGACCGATTTTTTGTCGTTTACGCGGCCCTTCCAAATTTTCCATGATCACACTAGAATTCACACTGCACCTTGCAAGTTGCATCTAAACGACATTTAGTAAACTGTCAAGAATACACAACTTGGACCTCCTTACTAAATGGAAAACCTATAATCGCATTTTCGGTGAAATTTGTTGGGAAGGTATTTATCTACTTATAATTCGATTACTGTAAAAAATTTTTGGAATTAAAATAAAACAAAATTGGCAAATAGGTACTTATTGAAAATAATCTTAAGATACGGCTATGTAATCTTTAATACACAGGGCTTTTGGCATGTCCAAACCTTTTTTTATTGTTCTGTACAGCTTATGTTTATAAAGGACCAATAAAAGACCCAAAACTTGTAATAGCTCAGGTACATTTATTACAATTTTAGGAAATATTTAGATTATTCTGTAAACATATTTAAAATGACCGTACTAAGTTTTGCATTAGAAATGCTGTTTTATTACTCTTTCATACATAAAAATAGACTATAGTAAAATATTTTTTATGTAGTTGTAGCATTGGTTGCACATTTATAGGTTGACAAGAAAAATTATCAATAATAATTTTATATTGATTATTTACTGAATTTTGAATAAAATTTATTTGATAATAATTTTTGATTTTTGTAATGAAAATTTTCAAAATTAGGATTAGAATAATTGTTTGAAAAATGGTTTGGTTTTTGATCATTTTGATAAAAATTTGGTTTGTAGAAATCAAAATTTGGATTCATATTATTAGCATTTCGATTCATATAGGAATTATTATTATTTCTTTGAAAATTTTGAAAATGTCCAGTATTTTGTTTATTATAGAAATTTGAATATTGTTTTGACATGTTTTTTCATATGAATTATTATTAAACAAGGTTTCAAAATTCCAAGTTCAGGTTTAGTACCTACCCTAATAGAAAGCATTAACGTATCCCACGTTTCAAACCAAGTATAGATAAGCTAATTTACCCAAAATTTTGACTTATATTCCTTTGCCTATACACGATAGATATAATAGTACAATCTTTTTTAAACTTCTAAATTATAGAAAAGTAAAATTAAAAGATATTTGGCACTTACTGTTTTCTTTAATTGTTTTCTAATTGTCGTTTCGGATGTCCCATCATGGGATGATGTCCAATCAACGATTCTTCTACGAGGAGGTTAGACTGTGGCCAACGTCTATCAATTCTTCGTTAGGAACTACACTTGAGAAATTAAAATACCAAAGTCATGAAAAGTTAATACTCACGACTCGTGAGTATCCTACTGACTGCGCCAGTTATAAATTCCAAAACGGAACTTTTATTTTTAAACATTTTATTAAATGGATAGTTAAGGTTTTAATCCTATTTATAAACTAAGAATGAACATTTAACAAAGATAATTTGATTATAACATAAAAAAATATATTATATACACAATATATAACTTGACTGATAGTTTTATGTTTAAACTGAATTTAAAAACTATATTCCTCGATTCCTAGAACAATATCGCATTAAGAATATCAAAAGTAGAAAGAATTTCATTAGCAAATTCCCCAGACATAGTGTCACGTCTGTTCCTTCTTCAAGGTTGCCGAGGAGTTTGTTTGTTGTAACCAAGTTTGAAATTTATGGGACTAATTATCTCGCCCGACATAATTTAAGGGTCATAACATAATTAATACCCTACCCTTCGAGGGAGGCCTATTTAGACGACAAATAGTTCGGACTGAGAGTATGAAAAACTGCACTGTGGGCTGCAATGGAAGAGACGAACGCCAGGATGGTAGAAATTAAGAAAAGTAATCGATAAGAGTTCTTTCTATTTTTTATTCTTTTTTTTTTTTAACATTTTACAATTTATATATTCTAGACCATAGAAGTAGATAGACTCGAGGGCCACGGTGACACATAGGTAATTCAATGCCATTATGGATTATTAAAATAACAATCCTGACTTAAACAAAACTTAAAACCTACCGCACAAGATAGAGAAAGCATTCCAAATAAATTTCAAAGTGCGCGGGTTTCAATTATTCATATAAACGTGGGTATAATACTTTTAAACAAAAACCAAAAACTCTTTCAAAACTTTTATTTAATTCACACAACTTTCGTTTTTTTTATTCCTAATCTAATGACTAAAAACGTTTTACAGTTACACAGCCAGACGCCTGGATTAGTCATCTATTAATCAGTCTATATCGAGCTTTCTAAAAGTTCCTTGCACACCCAAATTTTCGGTGTCTTTTAGTGGACTGGAACGCTGCGACTCGTCTACTCTCAAAGTGTCTAATTTATCAAAACGATCTGCATATTCCATCAGTTTCTTTTTCCATAATCCTGCGAAAGAAACAACCGACATTAGACATTATGGCGAAAGTAATAGGAGCCTGGGTGTAATGAATGACGAAGCATGACATCTTTCATGCCTTGTCGCGATGGTATAGAGAAAAAGTTGTTTGTCAAAGACAAACACGCCACTCATTTTGCTGAGTGCTGTTTGCCATGTTTTCATTAGGGTTAAACTTCAGTTAAACTATAGATATAATGACATAAATATATTTGGGGTTGTATGAATGTTTTATAATACTTGAAAGACATTTGCTGCTTATTTATATAAAGAGGATCAAATGTATTTATATAAAATTGTTTTAAAGCTTACAAATAAGTTATGAAACGAAAATAAATAATGAAAATAGGCAAATACACTAGAATACTATATGCTGTTACTAATTAATGAATGCATATATAATAGATTTTGTCAATATGTCAAAGTGTTAAAAATTTAAATAAAAATATTATTAATGAGAAAATTTAAATTCCTTTGAAATTAGATATAACAGGCTTCCTTTTTTTGTTTAAAAAATTTAAAAGTTTACTTGTCATTTCAAGGAAAAATTCAAAGAAAATGTAAGTTACAAAAAACTGAAAACATTTTTCTTAATACCCTTATTAATAAGTATATTTAATTTTAAATTTATTACATGGTAAAACTAGTTTTTTATGAAGTAATTAATTACATTTTACCTTCTAAATCATCTAAACATTTTTCTTTGCCTCCGTAGTCTTCTGGTAATATATCTAAAGGAATATGTTTGAATAAACTTTCTGTGGAATTGTGAAATCGTATCTAAAAAACATTGATGTCATTAAAATAATCAAAATACATAACAAACTGTTTGTTATTAACAAAAATCTTTTAACCATTGAGGTATTTTAAAAATTATCACTAATTTATCATTAATTTATTTCTAATTCATCGCTAATTTATTGCTAATTTATTGTTAATTTATCGCTAATTTATTGTTAATTTATTGCTATTTATTCATTGCTATTTTATTGCCTATTTATTGCTTATTTATTGCCTATTTATTGCTAATTTATTGATAATTTATTGATAATTTATTGATAATTTATTGATAATTTATTGATAATTTATTGATAATTTATTGATAATTTATTGATAATTTATTGATAATTTATTGATAATTTATTGATAATTTATTGATAATTTATTGATAATTTATTGATAATTTATTGCTAATTTATTGACAAATGATCGCTATTTTTTTTACTAATATAAAGTTAATTTATTACTATTTTATTTCCATCTTTTCGCCAATTTTAATTAGATAAAATTTTTAATTATTGATCATTTATTGATAAATTATGGCTATAGTCTATTTTTACTTTCCTATCTGTATACAGATATAAGGAAAGTATAGGAATCATGATTTTTTTCGACTTCGAGTTTTCGACGGATTTTTACGTTTTGAGGTCCCCTGAATCCGTTTTGACTATTTTCGCGATGATGTCTGTGTGTGTGTGTGTGTGTGTGTGTGTGTGTGTGTGTGTGTGTGTGTGTGTGTGTGTGTGTGTGTGTGTGTGTGTGTGTGTGTGTGTGTGTGTGTGTGTGTGTGTGTGTGTGTGTGTGTGTGTGTGTGTGTGTGTGTGTGTGTGTGTGTGTGTGTGTGTGTGTGTGTGTGTGTGTGTGTGTGTGTGTGTGTGTGTGTGTGTGTGTGTGTGTGTGTGTGTGTGTGTGTGTGTGTGTGTGTGTGTGTGTGTGTGTGTGTGTGTGTGTGTGTGTGTGTGTGTGTGTGTGTGTGTGTGTGTGTGTGTGTGTGTGTGTGTGTGTGTGTGTGTGTGTGTGTGTGTGTGTGTGTGTGTGTGTGTGTGTGTGTGTGTGTGTGTGTGTGTGTGTGTGTGTGTGTGTGTGTGTGTGTGTGTGTGTGTGTGTGTGTGTGTGTGTGTGTGTGTGTGTGTGTGTGTGTGTGTGTGTGTGTGTGTGTGTGTGTGTGTGTGTGTGTGTGTGTGTGTGTGTGTGTGTGTGTGTGTGTGTGTGTGTGTGTGTGTGTGTGTGTGTGTGTGTGTGTGTGTGTGTGTGTGTGTGTGTGTGTGTGTGTGTGTGTGTGTGTGTGTGTGTGTGTGTGTGTGTGTGTGTGTGTGTGTGTGTGTGTGTGTGTGTGTGTGTGTGTGTGTGTGTGTGTGTGTGTGTGTGTGTGTGTGTGTGTGTGTGTGTGTGTGTGTGTGTGTGTGTGTGTGTGTGTGTGTGTGTGTGTGTGTGTGTGTGTGTGTGTGTGTGTGTGTGTGTGTGTGTGTGTGTGTGTGTGTGTGTGTGTGTGTGTGTGTGTGTGTGTGTGTGTGTGTGTGTGTGTGTGTGTGTGTGTGTGTGTGTGTGTGTGTGTGTGTGTGTGTGTGTGTGTGTGTGTGTGTGTGTGTGTGTGTGTGTGTGTGTGTGTGTGTGTGTGTGTGTGTGTGTGTGTGTGTGTGTGTGTGTGTGTGTGTGTGTGTGTGTGTGTGTGTGTGTGTGTGTGTGTGTGTGTGTGTGTGTGTGTGTGTGTGTGTGTGTCTGTGTGTCTGTGTGTGTGTGTGTGTGTCTGTGTGTGTGTGTGTCTGTATAACGCATAACTCATGAACCGATACACATAAAAACACCAAATTTTAAACTTAAGCTTTGTTTCAGCGTCCAATGAGCTGATTAGATTTTGGGCAGAGTCGGAACATCTGGGGGGGTACTTTATTGGTGGTCATTTTTATATTTTATAGAATATATCTGTTATTTACGTTTGGAGAAGAAAATTTTTCAAATAAAAGTTACTTCTAATATAATTATCTATAATTTTTGTTCTATACAAAATTTTCCTAAAATGGTCCGTATTCGAGAAATTTGACAAAATGTAAAAAAAATATTTTTTATAAAAATTGTTCAAATAAAAGTTGTTTGTAATATAATTATCTATAATTTTTGTCCTATACATAATTTCTCTAAAATGGACCGTATTCGAGATATTTGAGAAAATGTGTAAATTTCGAAATTTGAAGAAAACTCAAAAACGGATAAAGGAAAAAAACAATAAATTTTAAACTTAAGGTTTATTTCGGCCTGACGTGAAATGATTAGATTTTGGACAAAGTCGGTACATCTGGGGGGGGGGGGTACTTTATGGGAGGCCGTTTTTATATTTTATGGAATATATCTGTTATTTATGTTTGGAGAAGAAAATTGTTCAAATAAAAGTTACTTCTAATATTATTATTTATAATTTTTGCTTTATGTCAAAATTTCCTGAAATGGTCCGTATTCGAGAAATTTGACAAAATGTGCAAAATTCTGATTTTTATGAAAATTGTTGAACTAAAAGTTGTTTGCGATATCGATTTCTATAATTTTTGTTTATACATGATTTTTCTAAAATGGACCGTAATGGAAAAGTGATAAATTTAAATTTTTCAGTATTTTCGTTTTCAATGAATATCTATAGAAAAATGTTTCGAGGTAAATGTATGTGTAAAATGTATATATTTAGTTTATCCTCTAAACATTTATAGAGATGCTGCAATAGGTTGTACAAAATAACCGGAAAATGCCTATAATAACTAGATAGGAAAGTCATGTGTTGGACACATCAGATTTTTATGTATGAGAGAGTAATAAAACAGCATTTCTAATGTAAAACTTAGTACGGTCATTTCAAATATTTTTACAGAATAATCTAAATATTTCCTAAAATTGTAATAAAATGTACCTGAGCTATTACAAGTTTTGGGTCTTTTATTGGTCCTTTATAAACATAAGCTGTACAGAACAATAGAAAAAGGTTTGGACAGGCCAACAGCCCTGTGTATTAAAGATTACAGAGCCTTATCTTAAGATAATTTTCAATAAGTACCTATTTGCCAATTTTGTTTTATTTTAATTCCAAGAATTTCTTACAGTAATCGAATTATAAGTAGATAAATACCTTCCCAACAAATTTCACCGAAAATGCGATTATAGGTTTTCCATTTAGTAAGGAGGTCCAAGTTGTGTATTCTTGACAATTTACTAAATGTCGTTTAGTTGCAACTTGCAAGGTGCAGTGTGAATTCTAGTGTGATCATGGAAAATTTGGAAGGGCCGCGTAAACGATAAAAAATCGGTCCTTTAACAGTTAATGAAAAAACATTAATATTTAATTGTTTTAAATCATTTACAGACAAACATTTATGTAAAAGGGTTGATGACACAGTGGAATTAGTTAGTAGTACGCTTGGTGTTGGGAAATCTACGATTTACAGAGTTGTTAAAGAAGAGAAATGTGGCGAGTTTCAAACAGCACGTAAAGCTCCAGGAAAACTAACATTTCAATTAGAAAATCTTTTGAAAGAAAGACTTCGAAGGAAAGTGCATGCGTTCTTCTTTAGAAAAGAATTTCTGACAGTAGACAAAGATCTTGCTACGGTTCGAAATGATAAGGATTACCCTGAAATGAGTCGAAGCACACTATGGAAACTTTTAAAAGAAATAGGTTTTCTATGGAAAAAGCATTCCAGAAAGTCTATTTTAATAGAAAGAAGCGATATTGTAGTATGGAGAAGAAATTACCTAAGGACTATAAAAGAAATGAGAAACCAAAGAAGAAATATATTTTATTTAGATGAAACATGGATCAACGAGTGACATAAACCAAATAAATTTTGGCAAGATGAAACTGTTACAAGTCGAAGACAGGCTTTTTTAAATAATTTATCTACTGGTTTAAATCCACCATCAGGAAAGGGGCGCAGAGTAATAATAGTACACATCGGTAGTTCAAACGATTTTGTTAAAGGTGGTTTATTGACTTTTGAATCTACTCGTACCGGTGACTACCATGAGGACATGAATGCTGATTTCTTTAAAGAGTGGTTCGAACAAATTATAGATCTTCTTCCTCAGAACTGTATAATAGTAATGGATAATGCAAGTTATCACTCGAGACTTATAGAAAAAATGCCCACAACCAAGTGGTTAAGAAAAGATTTACAGAATTGGCTAAATTCAAAGAATATTAAGTTCCATCCCGGTTCTGTGAGAAAAGAACTCTATCATTTGTGTTCCCTTCATAAAGAGAAATTCAAAAAATTTGAAATTGATGAAATTGCAAAAAATCGTGGGATGACGGTGGTTAGATCACCACCATATCATTGCGAAGTAAACCCGATTGAACTGATATGGGCACAGATAAAGGAAGAAGTTTCAAGAAAAAATAATTCTTTTAAAATGAGTGATGTTAAACAGTTGTTTTTGGAGGCTGTAAATAATGTGAAGCCTGAAAACTGGGAAAAGGCAGTAAATCATACGATTAAAGAAGAAGAGAAAATGTGGAAGTTGGACAATATTACTGATGAAATGATCGAGCCACTCATTGTAAATATTGGTTGCGACAGTTCATCTTCTGATTTCGATTATGATTTGGATTTGTAGGTAAGAAGTAGTTTTTATATTAAAATTATTATTTATGAACGTAACGTTGTTTAAAAGTCAAAGTTTAAACCCTTATGCCTACATAACCCGTTTGACACAATGTTCTTAACATACCTTGTGGAAAAATAAAACATTTTAAAAAAATTGCACTTTTTTACCTTCAGCTGTTTAGAAGTTATAAGCAGGTTAATTAGGTGAAAATATAAGTGTATACTCGAGGAATAACTTCAAAAAATATTTTAACTGTCTACTAAAAGAAGTGGTACGCCTATGGATTACGAACGCTTTATTACTTTAATACTCTCTCATACATAAAAATAAACTATAATTTTTTGCTAAATTATTATCTTTTGATTTTTAATGTATTGTTAATTTAATGCTAATTTAATTTATGGATAATGCTAATTTATTGCTAGTTAAGTGCTATTTTATAACTATTTTATTACTATTTTATTACTATTTTATTACTATTTTATCACTATTTTATTACTATTTTATTGTTATTTTATTTCTAATTTATTAATAATGTATTGCTAAATTATTGCTAATTTATTGTTAATGTATAGCTAATTTATTCTTAATTTTTTGCTATTTTATTGCCATTTTATTGATATTTTTTTGCTTTTTATATGCTATTTCATCGCTATTTTATTGTTGATCTATTGCTAATAAACCGCTATTTTATTGCTAATTCATTGCTGATTTATTAATGATAAATTGCTTGTTTATTGCTATTTAATCCAAATTTATTTTTAATTTATTGCTAATTTATTGATAATTTATTCCCAAATTTAAATTTAATAGACTACTACTTACTCTTTTGATGATTTTTGGCTTAACAACAGTTTTCGCTAATTTTAATAGTAAATCACAGATAGGGTGATAATTAATGACGTGCACCTCTTTGACTCGATTGCTATAAACTTTCTGAAAAAGAAAAACGATGAATTATTCATAACTTCCGTTTCAGTGTTTTTTTTTTTTTTTATTAATATAATTATAATTTATTTGACTGTTATTTTCGAATTTTAAAAGTTTTTACTGCTTTCAGTTTGTTAGGCGTATAATTGGATTTAGAAAAAGTTACTTTTTTTGCTTCTGATGAAGAGTTTATTTAATTGTCAACTTAGGAAATTGTGAAATTAAGTTAAAAGTGGCGAAGACTTTTAATAAAGCTGTTTATTATATTAAAATACTTGAGTATTTAAGATTATGCTCCCAAAAGATAGATGAAAATTAAAGTGAAGTTCTTTTTTACAGACTAAAAGAAGTTTTATTTAAGTTACATATTATTAAATTATAATTTTAGTAGTATAGATAGTAGACCCTAATAAAATTCTTGATTTTTTATACTTCTTGATTGCTAAAATTATAACAGAAAATGGAGGAATCATTTGGTGTTACATTAATGAATATATAATTAAAAAATTTAACAAATTGGTAACATTTCCAATAAAAATTAAGAGATAGAATAAAACACGAAGAAAAAGAAGTAGAAAAAGTTATGCACATTTTTCGAAATGAGTTGAATTTATGCTATTAAAGAAATAATACTGTCCTTTCTTAAATTTACAGGCAATATTATAGAAGCTTGGAAAAAGATTAAGGGCCAAGAATAATAGTTTTTCTCTTCTCCTATTTATCTACATGGGTTATATTAAAAGTTTGATTTAATACTATCTTAAGAATTTTTATATTTTTTTATTATTTCAAGCCATTGTTTTGAATAAACCTTTTTAAATACGTATCCCCCGTTTAATCCTCTTGTTATTTGAAATTAAATATTTAATGAATTACCTCTTCCATTTTGTGACTGACTGTATGACAAAAGAGTCTATGCCAAAAAAAAATACGTATCCCTTATTCGCTGTAACATCTGTACAAACCTCTAAAATAGTCGTAGCTATTTTGGCGTCCATTATCGTAGTTTTATATATATGAGACATCGACGTGTTTTGAAGATCGAAGAGCACTATATCTCCCAACATAAAATCTTCTTGAATTCTCACTTCAATTAGATTGACCAAATTTGCTATTATAACTTTGGGCTCGAAATTTTCTCTATACGATTTCGCTTTCATTACTACTACCCTGTATTTATCGTTGAGAAGCTTTGGTAATGGTAAGGTGTATCTAAAAAATATGAAAAAAGTGTTTATATTTCCCCAGATAGGTAATAATGGTATGATTTTTGGTTATTGACTATTATCGTATATTTTAGATAAATTTGTGAAAACTGACAACACTGTTAATGAAAAATAGAAGTGTAGAAGTAGGAACAGATGCGTTCTTATGGTACTTAAAACTTAAAGGCCCGTATGAATTGTAAATAGATCTAATAAAGACATTATAGAGTGCTAAATGAAGAAACTAGCGAAGAAGACAAGGAAAACGAAGAAGAATAAGAAGAAGAAGAAAGGGGAAGAAGAACAAAGATAAAAAATCAGGATTTAGTGGAAATGAATCTAACAAAAATATGAACATTTATATAAGTTTGTTTCCTGATATATACAGGGTGATGCATCCTATACCACACATAAAAACAGATATTCACTAAAAAAACATTGAATTTAGGTATAGGGGTTAAATTTAGGTATAGGCAAATCTTATATGGAATGAAAGATAATTTAAATGTCTATGTTTATGTTATTAAATTCCATGGTGTGCCATTTAAAATAGGAATATTATTCAACTCCATATGTAAGTCGAATTCAATTAGACTAAATGAGCACCCTGTATGATGTAATGAAAAAATTTGTATTTTTTTCCAATATCTTGGCTTCGCATATCTCAGGTGACTGTTGATGTGTTTTAAATAACCGCGACATACTGGGTTATGTTGTTCAAGCTTACAAATTAAGAATTTTTTAAATGTTTTAAAAACAAAAAGAGATAGGTATAGGAAACATTACAGATAATTTATTTTTTTCCGAGGAATCAAAAAACACCATCAAATTAAAAAAAACATAACTTTGATATAAATTCCTATTTTTGGGCCACCCTGTATAATCCAAATTATTTTTAATTTGTAGTGTGCCCTGTATATCCCTACTAAAAAAAAATTCAAATTTTAAATCGTTTTCCCTACAGAGACCGACGCGTATAGGATACAGGGTGCTGTATATATTTCTTATATTACCATAATAAAAGGTCTGAAAATGAACGAAAAAAATGATCATGTATATTTCCTATATCAGCACGATTTAATCTATTTTTAAAGAATTTTTATTATGATATAAAAAAGTTTTAAAAAATATTAACGAATACAAAAACCATTTGATTTAAAATGTTTGAATCCGGATCTGTCTGAGCTAGATAAATGCAATCAATTATAAGCACAAACCATGTTTGTGAACAACTTTTTATTTGCAAAATATCTAATAGAAATTCCATACTTTATGTTAACAGCGTTGCCACGTTTTATATTATATCTAAAATCTACTTAAATAATTTTGCTCCAAAATGAAAATTTGAGTGAATCCAATGAAGCAGTTATTCTGATAAATTGTTGCCTTAGATGAAATTTTACTCCAAAAATCCTCAATCAAACAACTAACACTTTGTTGTCGAGTCAAACTACTTTATAAACCATAATACTATTATTATTCAATAATATTTTCTAATTAAATCCGGAATATTATGATCAAAAGTTGAAATAAAAGATGATTGCAATGAATAATACTTACTGACAATCCAAACCTGCTTGTATTCGCGCCAATTTGGGGTTTATCCTATCAAATATTTCTGGAATTATACTTTTGATCGTATAATACATATCGAGTTTCTGTTTTGTATTTTCAATACTAAATTTATTGTTTACCAAAAAGAATTCGATCATGTTAGTGGCTAAAATGAAATAAAATCGTTTTGAAATATTGATTTCAAAGATTTTAAGGTAGAAAAATTACATATGGAAAGTTTGATAGATCTTTCTCGTTATTGACGATGTTTATTACTCATGCGCAAATCCCACTTCCTGTTTAAATCGTCAAAAGCTGTTGCTGTTATGTTTTCTACAACTGTGACACTATTAGATTATGTTATAGTTCAAAGAAACACTGAGGTTGAAAAGAATATTATACACCATAACATGTCAGATCATTCTGTTGTTCACTGTAAATTGAAGGTGAGTGGTAATCAACAAGAAACAAAACTACGTACGTATAGAAGCTTTAAAAATTATAACCAAGATTCTTTCCAGGTAGATTTGTTTAATATTTTCTTCTTTAGAATTTATGAAAATGTAGATGAGAAATTATAATACCGTCTTAACTGTTTAAACGATCTTTTTGATAGACACATTCTTTTAGTTACATCTAGAGCAGTGGTCGCCAACCTCTCAATGTGTTGAGCTACTTTGTTAATTTTGGAATAAACAACGAGCTACCCACACGGAAGCCACGTAACGCAACGTAAATGAAATAATCCACAGTTAATTTATCGTTATATGTATTTATTTTACTATTTAACTGGTAATACATAATACATAGGTACTAATAATAAACTAATAACAAAATAACTAATATTACTAGTACGTACTTGTTCATAGCTACATTCCTACCTACCAAACGAAGGTGTTTGAAAAATAAACACAAACTTTTATCCAGCCACAACGGCATGTCACGTAAGATTTAAAAATAGTTAATAATAACAACAAAAAAGTAACGCACTATCATAAACATTAACATTGAAAAATAAAAAAGCACGTTCAATGAGAAGGCTGACACTCAGACTCATCGATAATTTTTTTAATGTTTGCAGTATAATTTGATACAGCCATTCGAATACAATTATCCAAATGTTCATCTGTAAGTCGATTGCAAAATTTGTTCTTAATAAACTTCATATTGGAAAAAGAAGATTCACACAAATAGGTTGAACTGAATAATGCTTTCATTTTCAAGGCAACACGGTATAGAACTGAATATTTGTCTTTACTTACAATAGGCCAGATACATTTGGTACTTGAGACTAACGATTTTAAGGCTAAATCATTTTGAAACTCAATTACTTCCATTTCTGTTGCAGCGATGTCTTCGCCAAAGTTCTGCATAACACAAGTTGCAAACTGTTGGATATCAATTTCCATAAAGGGTGAAACAACAAACTGCGCTATTAAAGCCATTTCGTTGAAATCCTTAAAACGATTTTTGAAGTTATTCTTCAGGGTAGAAACTATTTCTACATGATATTTGCTGTCATAGGGTTCTAATGGATTTTGAGATATTTTTTCTGAAAGAATAGGAAAATGCTTGGTATGGCTGTTAATTAAGTTTTGTTCCCAAAACTTCAGCTTTTTGATAAATGCTTTTATATCAGAAATTATTTCCTCTAGTTCTTTGTCTCTCCCCTGAAGCTGCAAATTAAGTTCGTTTAATTTCTCTGTAATGTCCACGAGAAAACCAAAATCTCTAAGCCAGATTAAATTTTCTAGTTCCGGAGTCGGTTCATCGCGTTGTTTGAAAAATTGAACTATGCCAAATAGGACATCATTAAAACGTTTCAGCACCCGTCCTCTACTTAACCATCGGACTTCAGGGTGAAGGAGTAGGTCCCCGTATTGACAGTCAACTTCATAATAATATAATAATAATAATAATAATAATAATTTTATTTCCCAAATTCTACAATTTACATACAAATTTTTTTTTTATACATATCTTTTCCAAATGAAGATGGAAAATAAATATCTCCACTGAAGTCTTACGACTAGTACGTGGGAAAAAACTATATTTTCCTTCTCTTTTAAAAGAAAAGTTAATTATTACAATTTAATAGATTATATTCCTAAAAACTAAATTTTAAGCTTACCTAAATATGTACATACAAATAAATCAAATTAATTATTTAAGTAATTAGAAAAAGTGTGTGAACAAAAAATATTGATGACAGGATTAATTTTCATTCAAATAAATATTTAAACTTTTTTCGCGGATAGTTTTTTAAACAAAACTTAACATTTTTACCAAAGCTTTTGGAATTTTTTATTTCTTTAATTTTTTCAGGCACAAAGCGATATATGTGAGGCGCTATATATAACAAACTTTTTTGGGTTGCTGATTTGTAAACTTTTATTGTTTTTGTTTTCATTCTTAATTTATGCCGGGTGTTGTGTTCGTGTTGAATATCTAATAGTTCGCGTCTTTTTTGTGTTAGTAAGTAACTACTTTTTGTAAATAAATTTGTCTAATGTCAAGTAATTTACTCTCTATAAAGAGAGAAGTTGTTGGATAATCATTGTTTCGATTATAGATTATTTGAATAAATTTTTTTTGCATAATTTCAAGATGTTTGATATGGTTATTATAAGCGCCTCCCCAAGCTGTAATTCCGTACTGGATATGTGAGTACACCAATGAATAATACACCATTTCTAAATGAGTATTATCCAATATTTTTTTGATGCATTTAAATTTGTACAAAATAGATCTTAACTTTTTTACTAAGCCTTTTATATGCACATCCCATTTAAGATGTCTGTCTATTTCCACCCCTAAGTATTTTATATGATTTACTTCGTAAATCTTGATATTATTTTCGGACTGTAATGTTATGTTTGTAAATTCAGGGTTTTTAACACGGTTGGAAGTAAAGGGTATATAATTGGTTTTTTCAAAATTAATTGGTAAAGACATATTATCGAACCATCTTTTAACATTTATTATATCTTTTTCAGCCATATGCTTTACTTCTGTCCAACTGGTACCTTGATAAATAATTGCGGTATCATCAGCAAATGATGAAATTTTTCCTAATGATGCCAGTTTAAAAAGATCATTCACATAAATATTAAAAAGGATAGGCCCTAAAACAGTACCCTGTGGTATTCCAAATTCTACTATACATGGCTTACTGATAATATCATCGATTTGAACATATTGGATCCTGTTGTGTAGGTACGATTTCATTAGATTTAAAGCTGTTCCTCTAAATCCCAGATCCTCGAGGCGATCAATCAAAATTTTGTGGTCGACCGTATCGAAGGCCTTGGCGAGGTCTAAAAATAGACATAGCACAACATTATTATTATCTAGACTTTTATAAATATTTTTTGTTAAATGTATTATAGCATCATCAGTTGATATTCCTTCTTTAAAACCGAACTGACTTTCAGAAATTAAATTATATTTATCACAAAAAGAGAAAATTCTTTTCTTTAATATTTTTTCAATTATTTTAGTAACATTTGAAAGAAGTGATATTGGTCTGTAATTAAACATAAACTTAGCGTTTCCTTTTTTAAGCAATGGTTTTATTAGACCCTTTTTTAAATTTTCTGGAAAGTATCCAGTTTCAATTATCTTGTTTATAATATAAACTAATGGAGTTTTCAGTTGATGTACAGTCATTTTTAAAATTTGTGGAGTTAATTTATCTAAACCAGGTGCTTTATTTATTTTTAGCTCTCTTATAAAGTGTTCAACTTCTACCTCATCTGTTGGCTGAAGAAATATAGATATATCATTTTTATAATTTTTTAATTTATATCCTTGAGTTTTTGTTATTTTATTTGCCAAAGTTTTGCCCAAATTGGTAAAATAGTTGTTAAAGTGATCTGCAATTTCCCTTTTATCTTTTATATTCTTTCCTTCAACTTCTCATCGGCCAAGGTTTTGAATAATCTTCTTTGTAACGCTTGAGCTCTAATCTTGTTCACAATTTTTACCACCAGTTTAATAACGTTGTTTAGTTTCAGGAAATTTCCACATAATGCTTGCTGATGGATAATGCAGTGGTAACAGAGAAATTGCGGAAAAGTTTCATCTTTACGACATAACGCCACCAGACCCTTATCACAACCCACCATAGTTGGAGCGCTATCGGTTTTCAAGCCTACCATTTGCGATATTGGAATTTTCTCGGAAGAAATAATATTTTTTAAAAAAGAAAACAACTCCTGTCCAGTAGCCTGTCCTTTTAGTGGAATAAACTTCAAAAGATCTTCTTTAATCGTAAAATCACTAAAAACCATCCTGACGAACACGGCCATCTGGGCAGTATCAACGACATCTGTTGATTCATCCAGTTGAAGTGAAAAATAAACACAGTTATCTAAGTCAGTTCTTAACTGTAAAAAAATATCATTGTTCTTACTTCTACACGTCGCATCACTGTATTAGCAGAAAGTTGCATAGATTTTATAGCTGAAACTATCTCGTCTTTATTTCTAAAGTTGGCAAATAACGAATCAGCAGCTTCTAAAAACGCCTGTTTTATCATTTCCCCGTCTTCCCTTTATCCGTCAGTTACATATGGGTTTTTGCACATTAAATTATTTGAATATTACAAGTATATCGCTTTAAAAAAAAAGGGGGAGATTATCTTTCCCAAATGCAACTTCATCCTACACTTTAATCAGATTTTGACTGGTGGTGTATAAATTTGCAAAATTCTAAACATTTTTTCAAAAATTCCGGGTTTGAATTACAAATATTTACAGACGCTTCAAATACGGGATGGGAAGCAGTGGCAAATAACGAAAGTACTGGGGGAAACTGGAATCAAAACGATTTAAAACGACAGATTAATTATTTAGAACTACTTGCATCTTATTATGGTTTAAAATGTAAATACAACAGCCATATCACTATAAATAGAATGGGTAGTGTCAAGCATTATCATGCTTCAGTTTCTCCTTTCTGGCGGCAGAATGTGGTGGGAATGATTTTTCAAAATTAGAATGTACAGTTTTATGATGTCTCTCAATATTTCCTTTTTTAGCAACGGAGACCGAAGTATTACATAACAAACACACATTTTTATCTTTAACTTCTGTAAAAAAGTATTGTTCTTCCCATTCCGAATGAAAGTGGTATGTCTCTACCTTCTTACAACTGCTTGCCAGAATATTATTTTTTGTTGTTCTCTACTAACCCAACCCAACGCGTTCAGTTTTAAACTAAGCGCAATGTCGCCGCGTTGTGCGTATTTATCTCGTTCAAAGCAATCCTGATTGTTCTCGAACACTAACGCGCTGGTCCGGCTGGTCGGTTCTAGCCGATTCTAGCTTGATGGCGTCAGCGGCAGATCGCTCACCGCAACGTTGTCGCTGTTTATGTTTAATATTATGACAATTAGATTTTTTTGTGGAATTTTCGGAAGCTTCTCTGATTTTTGCAGTTTGTATTTTTTAAATTAAAATCGTTGTGAGAGCTACCAGAATTGCCTCCGCGAGCTACCGGTAGCTCGCGATCGACAGGTTGGCGAAAGTATTAAACCAGATAACTAAGTCATACATAGTATTAATTTCTCACAGATAACTAAGTCATAAATAATATTAATTCCTTATAAGATGGCTCAAAAACTATCAGCAACTAGCTCGACGATGCTTTTTTGTTTAATTACTGATTAGCCATTTTTTAAAACCCCAATTTTAAAAATTAATTTAATAAAAAATAAAAAAACATGTTACGACATGCCGTTTTGTGTAATCCACTCATTTTGCTAAGCCTCGCTCTGCTCGACTTGTAAATACTCACTTATTGCACCAAACAAGGCAACTCAGCAAGTTTGATCGAAAATAATTTGCTACAAGTAAATTGCTAGGTTTTTTACTTCTTAATATATTTTCTTTCGTATTTCTTTAATTTATTATTATTATTATTATTTATATTTTAAATAAAACCAATGCAATCTATATTCTATGAACGTTAATAAAACTATTGCGTGTCAAAATGATTAATTGATATTATTTTAACTTACATGGTTCTTCAGGTAGGTGCCTCTGACTCTTTAACCATTCCTTGATTAAATTCACACATTCTTTCAAATCGTTTAAACTTTTCCCCAGTACACCAACAATTTTCTTTTTATTAATCTCCTCCACAGTCAACGGCAACATATTGACTTCTTTTTTTACTTCTGGCTCACACAGAATCAACTGCCAGTTAGTGCTAGGCTTGGTAGTTGCACTTATTTGAATAAAATAATTGGATTCTCGAAAATTATCATTATTGTTACTTAATTACAGACCTTGATAGCCTTCGTACGAAAAATCTTGCATGCATAATTTTTGCGAGATAAAAAAACTAATTTAAACGAATAATATTGTTAAAAATAAAACATGGTAATGTTATTTTTTGTTTTTTTAATGTATACTTAACAACAAACTATTTCAATATTGGAACTATTAAACTAATTAAAATTATCTATAGGTTTCGTTTCTAGGAGATATTATGAGTGCAATATCCGTAAAGTTATAATAGTAATGGAAGTTAAAATTATATAGTCAAGGGGTTTCTGCACGTTATTTTGAATTTGTATATTTTACAAAAACAAAATGTCCTATATCAAATGTATATAAAGGGTGTCTGTAAAAGGTCTTTACAAAAATATACTACATATTTCTTAGACCAAAATAAGTCGATTTAAGTAAAATTACCTTAGTACAAAGTTGCTTCGTTTGGGCTCCAGAGGGCCTTGAAGTTACAATTTTTAAATCGTTTTTCCCATATAAATTTAAAACATCATATGCGATTTTGCTGAAATTTGGTATATTGGTAGAGTTTTATGTGGCAAAAAAATAATATTAAAATTTTGTCCGATAATAATACATAGGCGTAGAACTTGATTTTTTAAATAATTGCACCTTTAAAAATTCTACGCCAATGGAAGAAAAGGAGTTTTAGAATGAAATTTAGATTGCGCAACTCATTTACTTTAAAAAAGGTACTCTTGATAAGACTCGATTACTCTTATGGTTTTGACGAAATTTGCATTTTAGTAATTTTAGAACATAAACAATAATTATTAAAATACAAACTTTGTCAAAACCATGAGAGTAACTCGAGTGTTATCAACGGTACTTTTTTGTAGTAAATGAGTACCCAATCCAAATTTAATACTCAAACCCCTTTTTTTGCCATTGGCGTAAAATTTTTAAAGGTACAATTATTTAAAAAATCAAGTTCTACGCCTTTGTATTATTATCGGACAAAATTTTATACGATGAGAAACATACAAATGTACTTTTTTCATATCTTCTTCAATACCTCTAATCGAGACTTTTAACAAAAATACTCGATTCTTGCCATGTACGATTTTTTGAGGAATATTAATTATTTGCCTGGAATACATAGACAAAAACATTTATTGTTGGTTTCCATAGTTTCATCTAAATAAAAATATTGTCAAGTTTTAACACCTAATCTCTTGTTAACGATTGAAAGTGTTCTATCTGACTCAATAATTAAACAAACAAATGCGTGGTTTATTAATATGGCTGTACAATATACCAATGCAGAATATACCGATATGTTACTGACATTAGGATTTTGTGAAGGAAATGCTCGAGAGAGTGTCAGGGTGTACTCTAAAAGGTTTCCAAATCGTCGTGTACTTAGCCACCCAACTTTTGCTGCTGTTGAGAGACGTCTTCGGGAGACCGGTTCCTTTGCTCCCAACACTGTTGATAATGGAAGAGAACGTTTTGTAAAGATTCCTGAAGTTGAAGAAGACATTTTAGAACGTGTTGAAGAAGATCCAGAATTAAGTACCAGACGAATTGGAAGGGAACTAGGAGTAAGTAAAGATATCGTTTATAAAGTGCTTAGAGAACAATTGCTATATACATACCATAAGAAGCCAGTACAAGAATTATTAGTCCATGATCCTTAAATTCGTTTGGGTTTTTGTCGATTTGTTAATATGCAAAGAGAAAGAGATCCAAACTTTGTCAAGAAGGTTCTCTTTACCGATGAAGCGGGTTTTACAAGAAGAGGTATAACTAATACCCATAATGAACATGTTTATGCCGTTGAAAATCCGTATGCAATAAAGGTAAACCATTTTCAGCACGAATTCAAAATTAATGTGTGGGCTGGAATAATTGGTAATTTCATTGTTGGTCCTGTCATACTTCCACGAAGATTAACTGGAGAAAATTATTTGGATTTTCTACAAAATACGTTGCCAGAATTGTTAGAAGATTTACCTCTCCAACTTCGGAGAGATATGTGGTTTATGCAAGATGGAGCTCCACCACATTTTTCTTTAAACGTTAGAAACCACTTGAATGAACAATATCCACACAAATGGATAGGAAGAGGTAATGACGCACCTGTAAACTGGCCACCACGTTCCCCAGACCTAACACCGATGGATTACTTTTTATAGGGACATTTGAAATCCACAGTTTACAGTTAACCTGTAGAAAATGAGGAACAACTCTGACAACGTATTCAAGATGCAATAAACAATCTTAGAGGTGATGAAGAAGTTATGGAAAGGATACATTTTAATTTTCTTCGACGTATAAATCTTTGTATGCGTGAAAATGGTGAAAATTTTTAACAATTTTTGTAAAATCTCTATTTTGATTATGTTGTAAATAAATATTTTTGTGAAACATATACACTCTAAATTATTAAAACAGAAATTTAGCGAAAACCATGAGAGTAATCGAGTCTTATCAAGAGTACCTTTTTTAAAGTAAATGAGTTGCGCAATCTAAATTTCATACTCAAACTCCTTTTCTTCCATTGGCGTAGAATTTTTAAGGGTGCAATTATTTAAAAAATCAAGTTCTACGCCTATGTATTATTATCGGACAGAATTTTAATACCATTTTTTTGCCACATAAAACTCTACCAATATACCAAATTTCAGCAAAATCGCATATGCCGTTTTAAATTTATATGGGAAAAACGATTTAAAAATTGTAACTTTAAGGCCCTCTGGAGCCCAAACGAAGCAACTTTGTACTAAGGTAATTTTACTTAAATCGACTTATTTTGGTCTAAGGAATATGTGGTATGTTTTTGTAAAGACCTTTTACAGACACCACCCTGTATATCGTCGTTGCAGAGTCAAGGCCTGAAGAATACTATGCAATAACATTCCTTATTTTACCTCCTGCTAACAAATATAAGTGTTTTTTTTAAATAAATCAACTTAAATTTGAATTTAGTAAAACTATGTGTATTGTAATTTGCTACTACCTTATCTAAAGATTGGTTTAAATATAATTTGTTAGTGGTTAGTGATTTTCTATATTTTTATCACTAATCTAACATCAAGTATAGTAAGTTTTAAATATAGTGGTGCCCAACTTCTTTTTCAAAGTAATTCGAGTTATTTAATAACCTGACCCACGCCCAACATTCAATTGAGCTTAAACACACTATAACAAATAGAATAAATATCAAGTATCATGTTACACACTATAAATCTCAGCGTATCTCAGGTAAATAAAATGAATTGCACTGCACAGAGCACAGTAAAGTCACATTAAATTTATTTTTGTCCTTGTCCAAAATGAATTAAGTCATATGTCACATCTGTCAATTCTAATTAATATTTTTGTCACTTGGGGCATTACAGTCATGTGAAGTCCTTGATTGACCGCCTCGTGCTGATTTCTATCAACTAACTGTTGAAGGCGTTTCTTCGCGAGCCTTTTCCCATAGATGCAGGGGTTTTTCTGGGCGAGTAGGTGGCTGCCCTGTATTCAAGATGTCTGTCTAGCGTTTCCGCTACGACAGTAATTGTGGGTATATGTTCGGTTTGGGGTAGATAGGACCTCTATTTGAGTTTAACTAGGCTATTTATTTAGTTTTAGAATTTATTTCGTAATAGAGGGGACATCTATTTGCCACTAAGATATGTTGGTATTATTGGTTTTTGGAAGTAACGTCGCTTCTTCGAATTTGGGGATTCATTTTTCGCACGTGGATTGTGAAAGGCGGTTTCAAAATTTAGTGGAATTCTTTTCCATCCATAATTGGGATATTTCGAAACAACCTTTAGTTTAAAACTACAACAGTGTGTAATTTGGTTGCATTTATGGTTGACCGCATGTAAGAGTTCTTAGGAGGATATTGTTATGTGAGCCATTTCATTATTCAGTCATGCTCTAACCCTACAAGTCCCTCTCTGTCTTATTTGGGACACTATGGTGGAGACACTTTCGCGAACATTCCAGGATCAACGAGATACTATTTCTAGAACGTGATAACGTTTCTGGTACATACTGGCAGTTTTGGTGGGGGAGCATTCTAGACCACCAATTTGTATATAAATTGGTGGAGGAGAGCCATCAAAATGAGTTGATATATGGACAGTGAAGATAAATAGTAATTAGTAGATAGACAGTGGTGAATATAAATAGTGATCAGTTTAAAGACATTCGAATTATATATAAATTAAAATAGTATTGTTTAAAATAAATAAGTGTTTAAATAAATTATTAATAAATAAACTGTTGTTTAAAAATAAACAAACATCACAATATATTTAATTTTATTTTAATTCAAAATAACTATGAGAAATACAGTCAGTTTACAGTAGCTTGTATTTTTTTAGGGAATAATGTAATATGTTTTTTAAAAGGTATATGTTTCTTTACTAAAAAAAAAAAAGATGTAACCTTGCATATTGGGTGCCCTGATAAAACTACCAAAAATTTATATTTCTTTAATATAGCCCCCTAAAAAATATCTATAACCAACTGTATATCTATCAAAAGTGCCGTTAAAGTTTTTTAATAGTTTTCTTTTTTGATTTGACATTTAAATAGCTTTTAAACTCTACTATAGATTTCGCTACAATTGGGGCTCATCAGGCAACGGTAGAAAGCTTTAATCCACATTGAAATGGCAATGTAGTATGTCACAAAGTAAATGGTTCTTGCTAACTTCACTTAGATAACCAAATAAAAGTTGAATTACTGTTATTTAAAAAAAAATCAATAGGTAAACATTCTTCACGTATTCTACTAACGATTTCAAAATTTTTTTTTTAGAAAAACATTAACTAATATTTAATTTATATAAATTTTTCGAAAATACCTACACTTTTCACTACTATTCATCTACTTTATTTAGTATTAATGATTCTATTATAGTGCAAAACTGGTACAAGCCCCTTGACTAATAGGAAATACCAAAATACTGTATAAAACTAGTTTCTCT